TGCTCCCCCCCCCCTCAGAGCGAGCGATTCTGCCCCCACCTGCCAGAGCGAGCGGTCCTGCCCTCCCCCCCCCCAGAGCGAGCAATCCTGCCCCCCCCAGAGCGAGCGATCTTGCCCCCCCCCTACAGAGCGAGTGGTCTTGCCCCCTCGCAGAGCGAGCGGTCGTGCCCTCCCGCCCCCCAGAGCGAGCGGTCCTGCCCCACCCTGCCCGCGGCGCCGGGGCGGCGGCCTCTTCCGGTGAGCCGGGGGCCTGGGGCGCGCCTTCCTCTCCCGATGGCTCCCCGCGGGCCGCCCCGAACGTCATTAGCCGCGGGACGGAAGACAGGCCGCCATTTTGTTGCCGCACAAACACTCCATCACATATCATCTGGCAACGATACAGATTATGACGGCGCCCGTGATGGATCGCACCATAAAGACGTCGTTTGTGGGAGTCGTAGGCCTTGTCAGAGTCGAGCGGCGACGCCGTTGTGCCTCGGATGGATGGAGCGACGCCGACGCGCCGGCCGGGTCCTCGCTGTGCCATGCGCCGGCAGCCTTTCGCCGGCGGCTGCGCTCGTGCCCAGTGTCGAGCGCCGTCGGATGCACCCCTCGGCGGGGGAGACGGTGCGGTCTCAAAGGAAGCGCCGCCCGCGAGACTAGGGCTCGCACATTTCCTGATACATTTGCGCCGACGTATATTAGGTCGGAGGGGCAACGTAGTATCCATCGGGCTGTTGACAGGTGCTATCCAATTATAATCGAATGTACAAATTTGATGAAAATCCACATCATTAAGTGCTGTACGCTGCCAAAGACTTCAGGAGCGGTCACAGCTAGCTTACTGCCGTTCACCATACCTGAGCAGGGAACTGTTAGGAGAGTTGGCAGCTGGCGAGTGTAGAGCCGTGCAAGTGCAGGCTATGGCTCGGTCTTGTCGGTCTGTGGAGTGCCGTTAATCTGCAAAAGATGTCCAAACAAGTCAAGCAACCGCATGAGCTGGGAGAAAGCACTCAAAACTGCCCAGATGCCCTGGACTAGGCACGGATACTGGCATAATAGAGTTATTATAAAATGAAAGTTCAGTGCCACTGACGGCACTAGCCATGCAATATGGAATATTTTGCTATCCAAATTAAGTAGCAAACAATTTTGCGGCAACAAAACAGCTGCAAAGGTTATTTTCCATATAAGTGGCAATGGTTCGCTCTCTTCAATAGCTTCTCCCTCGGGTTTAGAACTCAAAAGCTTGAAATGTTCTTGGGTGGTTTCTTTGGGTATCGCTTGGGCATGGTTTGCGTTAACTTACCCTCCGCCTTACACACGCTTGTGTTAACTTACCCTCCGCTTTACACACGCTTGCGTTAACTTACCCTCCGCTTTACACACGCTTTGCTCAAATTCATGCACCGCATTGTGTCTGAGGCTCCAAAAACCGCGATGCAGATTTACACGTGTTGGTTCAAGCGTCAGGAGGTCTCGACCACCGCTCAGTCCTGTTTCCGCCTCTGCTCTGCCGGAACTCCACATCTGTCGTCCAGGCACCAGCATCCGTGAGCGCATATATTATTTTCTTGCAACACTGCCGAGAACAGCGAGCAAAAATACGCAGATGCATAAAACAACTGTCAGCTCTATCCTCTACTGCCGACTGTGCATTATTAAGTAATAGAATGCCTGCGGAATACGGAATATTATATCAAGTACGACCATTGTACCAAAATATCCCGCGGAGCAGAATGCATTGCGTAAATGAAATGCCAATGTGTATTACGCTGTGGTTAAGCTGCGATTTTCATCTTCAGCGGAAATACATGATTATGTAAGATTACAGCAATTACATGGCGTTCCAATGGTTCTCAACAACATTGCAATCGGAAAGCAGCATGCTCCTTTTGCTTACCTGTTAAAGTGACCGTCCAGTGCTGTCACCGAACCGGATTCGTTCAGAGGCACGCCTGTCCAGTTCTGTCACCGGACCAGATCCGTTCAGAGGCATGCCTGTCCAGTTCCGTCACCGGACCGGATCCGTTCAGAGGCATGTCCAGTTAACGGCGTTCTCTGGGCACTGAGGACAGAAACATGAATCTGGCCATCAACGAATGTCTGTCGAATGAAAATCTCAACAATCAGCGCAAACGCCGTGGTGAAACCAACCGCATGGTGCGAGCGAACGTGCCGACTGTAGCCCCTCATGGGTCCTAAACCTGTCTGGCCTACAGGAACGACAGTCGCGCCCAGAAAGCGGCCAGTGTCACCAGTGGCCAGTGTTTCGGAAAGGTCAGTGTCACCAGAAGTCAGTGTTTCGGAAAGGTCAGTGTCACCAGAAGTCAGTGTTTCGGAAAGGTTAGTGTCGCCAGAAGTCAGTGTTTCGGAAAGGTCAGTGTCAACAGAAGTCAGTGATTCGGAAAGGTCAGTGTCACCAGAAGTCAGTGTTTCGGAAAGGTCAGTGTCACCAGAAGTCAGTGTTTCGGAAAGGTCAGTGTCACCAGAAGTCAGTGTTTCGGAAAGGTCAGTGTCGCCAGAAGTCAGTGTTTCGGAAAGGTCAGTGTCACCAGAAGTCAGTGTTTCGGAAAGGTCAGTGTCACCAGAAGTCAGTGTTTCGGAAAGGTCAGTGTCGCCAGAAGTCAGTGTTTCGGAAAGGTCAGTGTCATCAGAAGTCAGTGCTTCGGAAAGATTAGTGTCAACCTTTCCAAAAGATTTAGATGCAAGGCGCCAAAACCGGAATAAATTATGCCAGGAACACTACAAAGGCGTTCATTGTGGCCCTGTTCACTGTGACCAATATTCAAACAAAATATTTGCGTTTTCGTCTCACATTAATCACAACTACAAAATCGCTAAATCGCTGCAGTCATCAATTTTGCCAACCAAAGTTGCCGCCCTGTCCTGCCTCAGAGCCGGCGTTATTTTCAAGCATTGCTATTGGTGGATGAACATCAGACTGTCAATGCTCATGCGCGGTGGACTGTCCAGCGCACTGGGCAGAACTTTGAGCGCCAGGTTAAGGTCACCCTAGCTGTTTGGCTTCATTGGCTTTATTGGCAGAATGTTCGTCAAAACAACAGACAGCTCTCAATTCTCGCATTTGCTCTGGTCTCCGAGTTAGGCCTAAAAGTCAGTTACCAAGGGGTCAAAATCTGGAACTCTGGCAATCCCTCCACCCCTTCAGTTACTGAGGGGTCAAAATCTGGAACGCTGGCCATTCCTTCGCCCACTCAGTTACCGAGGGGTCAAAATCTGGAACGCTGGCCATTCCTCCACCCATTCGGGTTGTGTTCCATTCACAGCACGCGAAGGTCCATGCATGGATGATTAACGGACGTGACGTAACGTGACGTGACGAGGGCAGAGCGATAGCGTCTTTGAAACCCATCCCAGAGTCACTCACTCGCCATACGGATATGACGTCACTGGTGCAGGGGTCGTCAAGAGGGAAGGGATGCAAGGTCCATTGGTGGATGCTGAATGTGCGGTTCAGACTTTACCCTGTGCATGTGATCATAAACATTAACGCGTTGAGGTGCATGTTCGGCATGACCGATGCGTTGACCGATGCGTTCGGCGTGACCGCCCGAGCTTGCAGCGGCGAGAAACGCCACTCGTGGTGCACGTGCATGCGCGTCACGATGCAACGCCCCCCCCCCCCCCCCCTGGAGGGTTTGTTGATGTGGCTAAAACCGGCACATGTTCATCAGCGTATTGGATGAAATTACACAGAATGTTGTTTCCAACGGGCAACGACATGTGGGATGTCAAGGATACCTTGTCGCGCACAGGTGCGCAGCCAGAGGGATGAGCCCGGGAACCCAGGCCCTCACCTCTGTCTCGCATTCATTGTCTGGTTAAGCACCAAAGACGACTTCTTTGGTCCTCTTATGATGAGTGCTCACTTAGCCCTGGGCCTAGTTACGAAAATTCAGACTGCGGCTAAGATCGCGCGTCAGAAACTAATGTCACAAAGAGCGACGCGTTAGAAGGCCGCGCGCATTCTGAGTGATCTACCGCAGATGGAAAGGTCCATGGATCGCCGCTCCACGACAGACATCTTGGGCCCTTGCTAGAATTTCTGGACTCGTCTGCATTGTAGATGGGCACATTTTCGAGCAGGTCTCAACATGACTTCGCTTCCCCACGGGCTAAATGGAAACAAGGACGCGCTTTCAATCGCTTTGAACCCATGTCTTGCCATGCAGCGCGATAATGTTAATCACAAACTCTTCCAAAGTCGGAGAAACAGTCCTGCTCCCCTCGCCGCCAACATACGCGGGAATCGAACTCCGGCTCAGAAACTCCAATGTCTTCTGCGGTCGTCGAGCCGATGAGGCTTCGGCTTAGATGGGTACATGCTTGGGTTTAACTTAAACAAGCCAATCCAAACTCTTGCGCCCACTTGTGACAGCTTTATCGGCTTGCTGATTGGCAGCTTCCCTGACATCTGCTGACGGGGGTGTAGACTCAAATCAGTTGAGGGAGCTGTCCGCGGAGAAATCTTTGTTGTTTGTTTGCCTAATTCTGTTTTTGGTGTACGTTTGGATATTTTTCCTTGCTTGGCTCCACCTCCGCCCCTCTTTCAACTTGAGAACCTAGATTCCAATTCAGTTGGAGGGTCGCTTCAGCCCTCCTCAACTTGGCTCTAGCCCCCACCCCCAGAAATAAAGTGCAAATGTGAGCTTCCACCGTTGGCGAGGGTCAGCTGACGGCACCTTGTTGTCACCTATCATGTAAATGCACAAGCTGGGGTTTATAACTTTTCCGCTAGAGGACAGAGGCGTCCCGAAGCTATGACGTCACGATCCTGAAGATGCACATTTCTCCAACGCAACGTAGCTTGCTACACTTTTAAGGATCATAACGTATGAAGACCAGAATACCTGTAATAAAATAAGACGCACAGTTATTTTTGAGGAACAAACCTTGCACCAAACCGTCCCCAGCAAAAACATAAGAGTGAGCGGCACATTGTTTGAAAACTTGCATGCCAGGCTCACACGACATGGCTGCCTCGATGTTTTGCCGCAGTGCGGCGATCGCGATGAATTTGCCCTGTACCGCTTAAAAGAGAGTCCTGGGGTGCGCTGGGGGGTGGTCGTAAGGCGTTTTGCGTCATCGATCCTATTGATTTTCAGCTCGATCGACGTGGGCAGTTTGTGATGAAAGAAGAAAGCTGTGGTAGTCCGTGAAGGGGTCGCGATCGTCCAGGGCCTGGTCGTGAGGACCCAGCCCTGACTGGAAAGTTGAACAGGCAGTCGGCTGCAGTCGTAGGGATTCCCCGGACGTATTAGCCCGTCCGCCGCAGCCCAAGCAAGGCCAAGCTGGTGACCCGGAGGAGGCTAACAAGAGCGGACATGGAGCAGACGGACGCTACGGCCGACGGACCTCCGCCAGGGGAAACAACGCCCCTGATCGGCTCTGAGCGGAAAGGCCGCTGCGAAGGTGAGAGTGGGCGCTGCCGCGGCACGGCGCAACTTTGCGACGCACAACGTTTGGGAGGCTGTGCTTATTGATGGTATTCTGCGGTGTGTTGCACGCAACTTTGTGTGGTCAGTGATAGCTCCATTCCGTGCACCCTCGATGATGCTCCATGCGATTTTTGGTGAACGGTTGAATGCCAGCTTTTACACGTGGCATTGATCGGTAAGTAGCCGTGTTTTGGTGTGCCAGTGGGCCAAGGTCGTGGGTATTATTCCGGGATACCAGTAGGCGTCTCCACGGGAGGTCGCACCCGTGCTCACCGCGGAGAACGTCGGTCGTCGTTATCTGAACGAACGTCTGAATCTGTGTCGCCGAGCACAAGACCCTTCGGGGCGGGGTGCTATCACATGCCTCTACACTTTCGGGGTGACTGCACTGGGAGCAGTGCGGGGCGCCGGTGACCACGCGGCACCCGGCGCCGGGCGCGTCACCCAGCTAATGCCAGTGGCTGACGGGAAGCTGGCCATGTTCCATGACATTTATAACATCGATTGAAATTGACCTCAACGCTTAGGCGGGAGAAGCCTGCTAAGCTGATACAGCTGTCTGGGCCACGGCCTTGATGCACACCCTGGGCGCGCTGAAGCCAGTGACCTGACAGGACCTGACAGTGACCGCGTCTGGCCGCCCCTGAGGCGATCGCGTGCAGTAGGCCTGGCCGGGTGTCCTGTGCGCGGGGCTGAGCCGTGCCCCGGCCCCGGGCCTGCCTCGGACCGACAGCCAGCCCGGCCCGCCCCGACCGGTCCGGACGGCGAGCCGCTGCGATGTTGGGCGCCGCGGGGGCCGGGAGCGGCGGCCTCGTAGTCGCCGTGTTGCTGCCCGGCCGGGTTCGGCAGCGCGGCCCCGCCGTCACCTGGCCTCCCGCGCCCTGGCCCAGCTGGTTATATAACGGTGCGCACCGCCTCGCGGCCACTGCCGCAGCACAATGGTGGGACTACACGTGCTGGATGGCGGGTGCCAACAAGACCACGCGGCGCGTAGCGTGCTTTTCGTTCTGGTTACGATCTGGGGCGAATGAAGGGCAGGGCGCGGAGGCGTGTACTTGAGCATGTCCCAGGATCCTTCAATTTTGTATGACAGCGAGTGCAGCTATTCTGCGAAGAAAAAGCAGTCCCCGCAATAGACGGAGAGCGTCCTCCTTGATCGTACTAGGTCCGTCCGTGGCGGGGAGGAAGATGCCATTTGAGAGTGCCAATGTGGCGGGAGCGATCCATGTCAGCCTAGCGCTGTTGTGTGAAGGGGAACTGTTGTCCGAGTTCCATCCCATCGGATCGGTGTGTCGCTCTGCGAAGCGTGTGTGCTTAGCCTCGGTGACGTATCGCTTGATCCACAACACGTGTGGGCGTCACAGCTCGCTGCCACAGCGGCAGATCACGCCCCACGTGCGCCACTGATCACGCGTAGCTCATCTTGAGATAGCGCGCGGCCTTGCAAGCGCGAGGAGGGGGGGGGGGGAGGGGGGAAGCAGGACTTTAGACGTTGATCGCAGCTCGAATCAAGCCTGGGCGGTGCGTCAGCCTATCGTGCGGTACACCGGGCCAGCCAGCGCGGGCGGGCGACTATCGTGGTCTGCTCGCGCCCGAGGTGCGCGGCCTTGTCTGTCCCACCCAGTCGCTCCGTGTCAGGTGAGTCGCCCGCCCGCGCGCGCGTGAGTGTGTGTGCCGCTCTCCTCGGCGGCGTCGGCCATGGGACGCGCCGCTGTTCGTCGCAGCCCGTCGGCGGAGGTCCTGATCGCGGACCCGCGCGAGGGACTGGCGCCGGGAGGATGCTCTCGTCGATGTTAGTATTCGCTTCGCTTTTACTGGCTGTTGCGGAGCGTGCACGCAGTGCGTCTCATGTTTATCGCATGCCGCGTCCCAGTTGTTGGTGCACTGAGCCTCCCAGTGTTTTGCGTTGTGTGTGTGGTGGGTGAGAGAGCTGTGCTGAAATGTTAGTGGCCGCCGTCATCGAGCTGTCGGTGTCGGGATGATTGTGTTTCCCTGCGGCGCTCAGTGCCGGTCACAGACGCAGATGGTGTGAGTCTGAGGTGCCTTCAGGTTTGCCCGTGCCATGGTATGAGTCCAGGCTCGAGGCCGTGTGTTCGCGCCCCTGGAGGTGGGCTTCGCATCATCTGACCACTTATCTGTTTCACTCTCGAGGCCATTCTGTTCACATGTCGTTAGCGACTGCAAGTTTTGATCAAAGTCCACAATTAGCGTGTACATAAATCCTTCGCTACTATGGAGAATAAAACTTTCACAAACGATGGTGGGCGTTAGGTAATTCACCAGCTGGAGTCAGTTGTGCTGCCTCGGTTAATTGTGTTGTATGTTTGTAACGTAAATGTAAATGTAAATGTAAAAAATGTAAGTTGTGAAGGATCATTTTTGAAGTTCGCCTCACCATGGAGGCCCCGGTGCGTCAGACGGGGGTCATGACTCACCGCTCGTCCCGTGCGGCGAACAGTCACGATTGCGAAACAGATATCGGACGAACTATGGAGCCGGAGACCTCGGCCTTGGACGGAGGAGCGCGGCTGCCCGGCGCTGCCCGGTGACCGGGGCGGCACGGTGGGGGTGGGGAGGACGGGTCGGCGGGGTTGGGACGGGACGGTGGGGGGGGGGGGGGAGGAGGCGGGACGGTGGGGGTGGGGGGAACGGGTCGGCGGGGTCGGGACGGGACGGTGGGGTCCCGGGACGGGACGGTGGGGCCCGGCCGCCGCGGCTGCCGGACCCGCCAGAGGCACGTCCCGGCATGAGAAGCAACAGCGAGCGTCGGTCGGGCGCTGACGCCATGAGCTACCCGGCTTGTTTACATGCTGCTGGAGGGCTGCAATGTTTGGGGCGTGTTAACCTGACCTGCCGCGGCGGCGGGTGGGGCGGAGACCACTGGTCAGTTGCCACCAGCCCCTGCACGACCGAGCTCAGCCAGGCCGGTCACCGGCTGTGGCGCATTTGCGCATATCGGAAAAGGACCGTCAGAAGTCAAGATGCCCTAGCAAAAAGTCCGTGCTCTAATTTCGTTGTGAAACACAGTAGCCATCCCAGAGGGTAAACATCAGTTTTTGTGGTGCATAAAGCCGTTATGCGATAGCCGGCAGTACAAAAATCGCGTCCGTTAATACGATGTTCTTTTCAGAGCAAGGAAAGCGCATGCCCAGCTATTTATTTACGAGTATTTATGAGAAAATAGATGCAAATCTATTTCCTCACGCTCACGAGAGAAAATTGCTCAAATATTGCAAAATTATGACACAAAAGTTGCTGGTTTTTGTTTGCTGCAGTGATTATGAGCTTAGGGTGTAGTTTTTGTTGGGTATCTTCTTTTCACGACCCACCCTAAATTGCACCGCATGTCACCTAATAAAGCGCACCTGGGAGCATTCGCCGCGGGGGCAGTGTCAGGGAGGCAGGCGCTAGGGAGCGTGGGGACGCTGAGGGCAGAGCACGGCATCAGCGCAGGCCAAAACGTCACGCGCTGAACTATGCACTAAACGATATTCGCCACGACTGAATGTTCTAGCGATGGCTCCCCACAGCGTCGCGAATCCCTGTGGGGGAGGGCGACGCTGCCGTCGACCCCTCCCCCGCCGCCCCCTGTGTGACGTCTGAGCGCGCGCTTGTCGTCACCTGTGTGCGTCGGCCGGGCCCAGCTGTGGCCGCCGGTCAGTGGCGCGGAGGCGCCCTCGGCCTGCCCGGCACGCACTCGCCGCCCGCCGCCGCGCCGCGGAGCCGGAGAAAGAGCCGGCGCCGCTCGCCCCGTGGGCTATTGATCTCCGGCCGGAGCCGGCTCCTCGCCGCCGGCGCTTGCCGCCCTCTCGGTGGTGGGACGTGCGCGTGACGCGCGTGACGCCTGTGCCGGCCCGTGACGCGCGTGTGGGACCTCGTCTGGTGTCGTCACGCCGGCTCCGCCCGCCTGTCCTCCCCGGAGGCCGTTTTTCCGGTTGCGTGAAGCCCTCACGCCGCCGCTGATTGGCCGGCTGCCGCCCGGCGTCGGCCGCCGCCGCCTGTGACATGTGTCTGCGGCGCTGCTGCCGCTGCCTCTGCTGCGCAGGCTGCTGCTGCTGCCAGACGGTGGCGCTCGCCCTGCTCACCGCCTGCGTCATCATCATGGTGCTGGCCGCCGTCACCGTCGTCTCGGCCTTCTCGCTCGTCGGCTACCCCTGGCACGCCTCCTGCCAGGCCGACTGGTGCGTGAAGGGGTGGGGAGGGGCATCAAGGCGTGAGAAGGGCCTGACTGTCCCCTGGGCGCTGGTCCGCCGGCTCGCGGGCACCGACCGTGCGTGATGTTAGGAAACTCGACATGCACCGTGCGTTTTCACACGGAGAGATTGCAACGCTCACGGCTCTGCCTCGTAGACTCGAGCATCGAGCCTCTGCCTCGGAGTAGCACAGCCTACTCGTGAAAAACTGGGTGGGATGGTGGGGGTTATGAACTGTTATCAAATCCTGTGTTTTGTGTGTGTGGGGGGGGGGGGGGTGAGGGGTTGATTGTGGGGGACAATCCTAAAAAAAAAACAGAAAAGAATCATTGAAAAGAAGCGCAGTCTTGGTAGTGACTGTCGTGCTGCCGTCAAGCAGTCTAAAAATGGATATAAATATACGCACTGAACACGGCATTATAGTTTGATTGGCCAATCTAGACTTCAGAGAACCCGCCGCAAATTCGCCGCGACCGCGCTGCACCACTGCCAGTGATTGGTTTCAGCTCTCTAACTGCCACCACCTCAAGTGTCCGTGCCTCTGGTCCCGCACGTGGCACACGTGTCCGGGCCGCCCCTGCGCCAGTGCGCCGCCGCGCCGTGCCGCGCCCGCATCCGCGCAGGTGCAGCGCGACCACGCTGGCGCGCCGCGTGACGGGCGCGGCGCCGGCTGACCTGGCTGACCCTGTTGACCCTGCTGACCTCGGCTGACCGCCGGCAGGACGTTCGGCAAGCCGTGTCCGGACGTGATGAGCACGATCGTCGACCAGATGAACGCCTGGGCTGGGCCGGACGGCTGCGTCGGCGGCGGAGAGAAGTGCCTTTACGAGGTAACGGCGGCACAGCGACGACTGCATTACTGGTGGCGCAGGCGACTGCCGATGCCCTGACCGAGGTCCCCCGAGGAAAACGGTGCCAGTGAGAGCTCCCTGCTGTGTTCAGAGAAACAGGATGGCGAGGGGGGGGGGGGGGAGTAGGAAGAACGACACGAACCCTATTACTATGGATGCAAAGTCTTCTTCAAACATGGTGTTGTTCACCTGGCTTTCTGAGACGCCCCTCGCCCGGGCTCCCTGTGGTGTAAACTGAGGCTCGATTTCTTTACAAGTCCTCTGGCTCTTGAACTCCCTCGCCCCATACCGGAGAGATGAGCATGGCCAGCTGGAGGAAGGGGGGAACGAGGAGGGACGAGCGGCATAGCCTCGGCATCGGTGGTACCGCCACTAGCTGGGCCCCTCCCCCCCCCCCCCCTCCGGTCGCGGGTGACAGTCGGGCCGGTGGACTGGGGGCAGGGAGGGATTGTGGCGCTTCCTTCCACTGGTACATCAGGTGAATGCAGTCACCCCTAAGTGACCTTGCCGCCCAGAAGTTAACGTCACTGGAGTCGATGCGCCCCATAGCTCTAGCTGCCAGTGTCCTCGGTCGGCGACGACCTGTTATTGTGAGTTGGCCGCATTAAATAAGCATCAGAGCAGACTGCCCCCCCCCCCTCCCCCCCATTTAAATTGGTTTGGACCACCGTTGACCGTTTTTTGTGGTTCGTACCCGCTCCATGCGCGACGCCCTTCGCGAGCGCTCGCACTTGTGGCGGCGTTTTCTGCGCTGGAGCTGAAATGCGCATATGATTTAGGAGACCGATGCAGGATTCTGAAGAAGTCAACGGACCAGGTGCATCTGGCAGACCAGCGACGCGACCGTCCGTCTCAAATACCGGTGGTCCATGAGCAAACCCCAATCGGCCTTCTTTCGACCCGTTTTGTACCCAAATGGACTGTCCTTTTGTAATGACGTAGTCCAAGTTCAGCAAGAAGGACCTTGTGCCCTTCAGTACTTGAAAAATCATTAGCGTCGCTCTCGTGTCGTGTGTAAAAACGCAATCAAGGATTCTTTATTTCCTGCTTTGTCAAGTCGCAGAGGTTTCGTCTCCTTCACGCGCATTTCACCCGTCTCTGCCTGTGCGCGTCTTCTGAGCAGCTCGCGCCTTGCGGCGCTGACCTGCCCTGACCCGATGTCGGTCCCTGCGCGCGTAGGTGACCAGCGCCGCCGGGAACGTGGTGACGGGCACACACACCACGCCCGTCGCCAAGTACGTGGACGAGCTGAAGCTGACGTTCGTCAATGGCACGACCGGCACGTGTCGGATGGAGGTGAGGTCGGCCTAGCGGGAGCCGCGCGAACGATAGGTGCGTGTGGGGACCGCCAGATGGCGGGCGCACCGGTACGGTGAGACAGGTTTCCGGAAGCGGTGACTGGAAGCCAAATGTCCAGCTAATAACAGTGGAAGTGCGGAGCGATTTTCCTGTGCTGAGCATCGCCAGTTAGGCAGCTCTCATATTGGACTGAATGTCAAGGGCAGCTGCTCACTGGCGCTATCTGACCATCTGGCTGTCCACTGGGTTCACAAGGCTATGATCACAAGCCATTGAGACCAAAGGCGTAACCAGGGTATTGGTGTGTGGGGGGAGGGGGGGGCACAGGGGACGCTCATTGACTCAGTAGCCTGGACCAATGTAAATCGCCTGAGAAATGGCCCCCCAGACCCAGGCTGACACGGAGCCGACTGGTACTGGTGGTGCCTGACCGACATAGAGGCCCTCATCAACTCAGCATCCCCCACCCCCTCCCCCCATACACACACTTGGCGCAGAGCCCTCTGAGCAGCATGACATTTGAGCGCCCGGCCCTGCGGATCGGGACCCCTTAATACGACCCCAGATCAGCCCTTTGGACGCTCAAATCGGGCCCTTAATCGTCGGTCCCGAGGGGCGCGGAGGGCCCTGAGACCCTCGTGATCTAAGGTGGGTAGGAGGGGGCACGTGCCCCCTGTGCCCCTCCCCTGCCATGTGTATGTCCTGGTTTCTTTCACGATTGTTGCAACGCCTGGCCGGCCCACCTGAGCTCAGCGGTCATGTCTCCTTTTCCATCGCTGCATTGCTGGCATGCCCGCATTACCTCCGCGTTACATCAGCTTTGCACTGCACAGATATAATCGCATTTTTGACGATGTCATCAGACTTCCTTGCACTGCGGTCACGCTCCCGCCAGAGTCGAGCGTAAGCGGGACTGGCCCACGATCCCCGGGATCGGGCAGTGACGTCACACGGCCACCGCTCTCCGCCAGGGCTACTCGCGCTCCAAGACGTGGTACGCCTACCTGGACAGCTCGACCAACTACTGCAACATGAAGAACCTGATCGTGGGCTCGGGCCTCGACCAGGGCGACCCGGTGTTCTCCGAGAGCACCAGCGACAGTATCTGCACGCAGTACTCGTCCGCCGACTGCGACAAGTACTGAGCGGCGCCGTGCCCACCTCTATCGCGCTCGGCCAACGGCTGTGTTTGTACTCTGACTGCGCAGCGTACCGAGCAGGGCGCCGCCGTCCATCTCTGTTTGCCTCTGTCGCTGTTAACTGGTGCACGCATCACGTAATAGTCGTTGAGCGTCGGAGGCGCTGGCAATATCTAACGCCGAGGTTCTGTTGTCCCTCGCCGCAGTCTGCCCTGCGCCGCGCTTGCACTAAGCATCCTCCCACCAACGAGCCATGGCCAGTTGTCGAGAGGCCAAGCCGCTGTACAGTTGGCGCCCTGAGGCGGCAGGTAGCCAGAGGGGTGCCGTCGAGCTCGCGGGAACTGCCCCGATCGGTGCCATATGTAGAGGTCGCGCCAGGTTACCAAATGTAACGAAATGTTACCGCACCAGTGATGCATGGAACAAAATACACGATTGAATTCCACGCTTTTAAGATTGTGTGGAGAGAGCGTGCCGTCAGTACACCACGTGGCAGAGGCCCCGTCTTCAGAACAACCGGTGATGTAACGCCTGCGGCCGAGCACCGCGGTCCGTCTCTGTCCACCGTCACCATGCCGTGCCCCCCCCCCCCCCCCCCTCCCTCACCCCACCAGCCCGCGGTGTCGGACTGGTGGCGCCCGGTGACGTCAGCGGCAGACGCCTGACCGCAGCCCCGGTGACGTCAGCGGCAGACGCCTGACCGCAGCCCCGGTGACCGCGGCGGGGGGGGGGACACGTGTCGGCACCCCGGCCGGCTCGTGGGGCCGCGGCCGCGGTGGTGACGGGCATGTGTTGGCACCCCGGTCGCCGGGTGAGTGAGATGGTCCTCGCTGGGAGCGTGATGTTCATGGTACCACTGGGCTGGGAATGAGTAATCGGAAACGCTTGGGCACAAACGCGATATTCTTTGCGGATCTGCCTTGGGGCGATGCGTTGGACCACAGAGGGAGCAAGAGCATCCTTTTTTTCGTCCCCTCTCCCCCATAATTTTTGGGACGCCTTTTTCCTACCAAAAGCATTGCAGCTATACGTAGAGTACCAAAATTCAGTTCAAGGAGACCCTACAACTGAGCTAGGGAGTCATAAATTAGACTTGACTACATGACAAATCATCAATTATCATGACATCATCACTACATATGGACCCTTGACTACATCAAGAGACACGTCGTCTGGGTTCAGAGGCCCCTTTTCAGTACGGCGGTCCAGGCCCTGGATCAGGGGACCGAATACTGAGTATTCTTCGCGGCCTCGGGAGCCCCACTTTTTTACTCCAGGAGACGCCTGTCCTTATCTAGAAGGCACCCTGTTTATTTCGGTACCCCCATTCAGGGAAAGGGGATGCCCCTTGCGTACATCAGATGGCCGCGGTCCCGGATCAAGATGTCCTGTCTGGGGACATCCTGGTCCGGAACCAGGACGTTTCTATATTTGAGGACCCCTCCGTGATCGTAAGCATCCTAACCTAGTTTAGGAGGCCCCTCCATGCATCAGGAGACCCTTTCCTGGGACAGGGGACCCTGCTTTGGGTTAGCGAGACCCTTTCCTGGATAATTAGAAGGCCCCATTCTACGTTTTTCAACTGTTAAGGTTTATTTACTTGGATATGATACATATACCAGTTTGATAATGGGCAAGTGTTCTCGGTGCCGCTCCCCTGGAATACGACGCCGTGCTGGAGGCCTCCCTGCAAGGAGGCCCCATTTCGTCCAGGAGGTTCCCTCGAAAATGCTGCCCCCCCCCCCCCCCCAACTCAAAACCCGTGGCGCCGCCGCTGCGTATCGAACCCGTTGACATGGCTACACGGGACCCATAGACACGACCACGCACACCACATAGACTCGGCCAATACACACCCCATCCATACGGCCACACAAGCCGCTGCGCGAACACACGAGCCCCAACAGACGCGGACGTCCGGTGCACAGCGCGCATGGCCGCGGCTGTCGTGTGCCGGTTTTGTGCGGAACACGGGAGACAATAGCTGCTCAGAGTTCGTCCCTTGTTGCATCACATGTCAGCTTGTCAGACATGCCAGCGGTTCGCGCTGTTCCCATTCACGGGACGCAACTCCCGCTTGGGCAAAAAGTGCCGTCATCATCGGTGAAACCAGGCGTGGGTCATGCGTAAAAACAAGTGTATTTGATGACTGTCGCGCGCGAGGCGCACCATTGGACAGAGGCCGAGAGGCACCAGACACCGGGAGACGTCGAAGCTTCTATCACCAGCCGCTAGATGTCAGCATGCCACTCCACTCCGGTGGACGCTTACTTGACGAACAGATCCGTGTTGCGGAAGCTAGAGTTGTCTCTGAAAGAGAACGTAGATGACGCCACCAACCGGCGCTGGAGGAGGGCGGCCTGGGCTGTGGGCCGGCGCGCGCCTGGCGTGTGAGCGGAGACGGGCGGCGTACGAGGCTGGCACCAGTCCAAGGGTCCCCAGAGTCTGACGGTATGCACGCCCAAACCCGCCACCCGCCCTTCTCTCCCCACTCACCGCCTCATCGTGACCCTCGCCCCGCCCCGCCCCATCTTCCCAGACGGCCACGGACGTCAGCCATGAGCCGGCGCACGTGCAGGCCGGTTCCCCACGATCTCCAGGATATCCTCCAACCAACCACCTCTCTGCTTTACCCCATAGCCCTGAAAAGACCGCCGCAGCCCCACAGGACTCTAAGCCAAACCATAACGAGTCGAAAGCCCCGAACACGAAGTCGCTAGACAGTTGGGCCATCTGCACCTCAGGCTTCTCACGAGCGTTCTGCGTTTCATGGTGACATGAGCACTCATGCTGCAGGCTGGGAGGAGCCTATTTCACAGACAGCCGTTGTGCGCTCTGTGCCCCCGGGAGCAGATGCTGTGCCCCACCCCGGTGATGTCCGAGAGGTCACGCCTGACACCGTCCGCACGCCTTTTGTATCTTATCACGGCGAAGTATGCCAGGCTCACAGTGTGCGTCTCACACACTATGACTGGATTAACAGCCAGTACTAGAGATTCTCGATGTGCTGTTGGTAGTGAGTGACGGCGTTTTCCGACCACATCTGACTGTCGGCATGGGTTTTGTAATCCATGGAACTTGTCTGATCGCCCAAAATCCGATCCTGTCGGGGTGTTCCGTGTCCCAGCTGAAGCCCGGCTTCCGTACCAGAAACTGCTGGTGTGTTTTTACTCGTCGACGGCGGCACCCAACCGTCCGTACCCAAGCCTGTCCGTGTGTGTTGCGTACTGCATGAGTGTCGTTCCGAAGTTTGAGTCCGTACTTGAGACTGTCCGCGTGCGTAGGTTGGACCCGTACCTGACACTGTCCGCGTGCGTTTTGTACTCCATGATGGTGTGCGGCAGGCTGGATCCGTACCTGAGACTGTCCGTGTGCGTTTTGTACTCCATGATGGTGTTGTGCGGCAGGTTGAGCACGCGCTTGAGCGTGTCCCGGATGCGGGCGGTGGTGGGTGTGTCGGCGGCCGTGCGGTTCCACACGGAGATGATGTCCTCCATGTGCCGCACGCTGACCACGGCGCCGCAGATCTCCTCTCCCACCATGAACTGCTCGCCGAGCAGCGCCAGCACCAGGTTCTCCCAGCAGCGCGACGCCAGGCCTTTGCGCAGCCGCACGATCCACTTCCCGCCGCGACTGTTGGCGTCGTCCTGGCGGCCGGACGGCGGCGGCGCTGGGTCAGCACGGCCCAGGCACGCGCAGGGGGGCAGCGCGGCCGCGGCTTCTCTTCTTGGAGTGGGGCACGAGATTTACGCTAGCTTACCTCCTTCAAACGGCGTCAGAAGTTACGGAATTACGATCAAAAAGATAGCGCATCTTACAAAATCAAACAGGTGAGCAAACAAGCCCCATGCTTTTCGGCGATGCGCCGCAACACATTGAGGCAAGGATTACACTGCGCGCTCCGACATGCCTTCACCCGCAAATAATTGAGTGAATGGTACCATTGGCCACACATGGACCAGACATGAGCACAAGAAGAAACACCGGCCAGTGCCGAGACCGAGAGCCAGCCGGCGGCACCCACCTCCCACATGGGTTTGATGCCCTCCTTGAAGAGGTGGTAGTCACTGTGGCCCTTCATGTCATGTGGCCTGACACAGTGCCCGTATATCGACCAGAACTGCTCCACTGAGCCAAACCTGCCGCCACATCAGCATCAGTCACAGCACCAGACACTGCAGACAGCCGGTAACACATCTCGGTGACACATCTCTCGACTGTGTTATACACATTACCAAATTCATCGCAATCCCCCAAGGCATTTCATGTGATGCAACGCAACCTACACCTGTCTCGGCAAGCATGGATAGCTAGCGGCCCTTGGAATGTCATGGTATCAATCCAGCCAGTATGTGACAGTCTGCAATGTTCCATACCTTCCAACCAGCTTGAGGTTCTGGTCAAAGCTGGCTGAGTGTTTGTTGCCTGGCGAACGTGCCGTGAACCACAAGCAGTGCACATGCTGCAGCTTGTGATGGTGTGGTGGGATCTCCAGAGGAGGCTGAAACAAAGATGGTGTAACATCACCTTAGGGGCTGATGGTCCCCATTGACAATGCTGCCTCCATGACAACAGCATAACTGCTGCTGTGTACTTCAGTATGCACCAGAGATATGATGACCTATAGGCATATCCTACAATATGATTTAAGTATTTCAATATTAAAATAAGGGAACATCAAATCATATTACTCATCCATGCCACTGGTGCACACAAAGCAGCAAAAAAGGCATCAAACTGATTTCACTCTATCTTAACATAAGATGTTAGTACCCACAGAACCCACAAATGCAAAATACAGATATTTATTACATACCAGTTTATGACCAACTTTCAGCTCCCTGTCTTCCTCTCCACTGTCATCACTCATTTTTAAACTGAAAAACAATCATTTATAAGACATGGTGCCATGGATTAAACTCTTATCATACCTTCATAACAAAAGTGGTAACATATAACAAGTGCTTTGAAGCATACAGCACCAGTCACAAAAAAACACAGATGGAGTACATTATGTCACCTTCAGAACAAAGGTTATCATCATACAAATGATGACCAATATAGGTATATCAAACTCAGGAAGGTGCAGAGTGCGAGGAAGTGCAACCATAATCACCATTTGCAAATAAATACTGTTATAAGTGACAGATGAAAGCCCTGCAAGGACAATGAGTCTGGCCATTAAATACCTACTGCAGTATTGAAGTACCCACTGAAGACTGCATGATTAAATCATAACATATGTATGTAATACTATGTGCATAGATTATTGTTTTAACACTGTATTTCATGCATTTTATCATGCTTGCAATATGTATTTTTGCATGTTTTGCAACAAAACCTAATGATCTCATATCAATAAAGAGAAATGAGATTCTCATCCTGAAAATGCTTAGATGTACCACCCTGGTTTCTATGACAGTATCTCCTTACTTCTTATGCCAGATTTAAGCACTTTGTTGTGCAGCATTGGTCAAGTACAGGTGACAAATGAGGTTCCATGGTAATTTTTATCCAATATTTTGAGAAAACATCAACACAGGCTGCAGGGAGGTGCTGTTGTATGCTACAGGATAAAATGGGACCAGCAGCATAAGTCACTGTCTTGTACAATGCTTCTGATATGATGAAAGCTAGATTGGTACCACCAATTCATCACAAGCCAAACCATTTTTTAAAATAAAAAGTATGGCACTTACGCCTCAAATTGATTCCCTGACTTTGCACTCATTTTAGCACCTTCAGGCTGCAGCTGCAACCTTCAAAACACAGCCTTTTATGGATGGCCTCAAGCCCCACAGCTTTCAGAATGCGATGAGTATGGCGTTGTCCTTGAAACTGCCCTGAAACAGACGACAGTTACAGTCGTCATTGCTTGTTCATGTCATGTATGGCACGGGCAGTTACAACACCGAAAAGCTCGCAGCCATTGATTTGATACCACAGCGACGGGTGTATAACCAGACACCGCATACCAAAGGCAGACGCCCTCGCTCCACTCAAAAATTCGAAGGATACCGACCCTACCTTGATCAGCGATACAACGTTAGCTTCTGTGTCCCAACTTCACCACACACAACCCACCACCCCCAATTTTCTCGTGGTCCCACAGTGCCGATGCTATTCCGCCGTGCGCGGTGTACACGGTGTGGTCGCTGTGAGTGTGTGAAGTTTTTTTGATATCTTTACTATGTAGACTTCACTTCACAACAAATATGTAGGGCGTTTACTCGATATTTTTGTCAATTTGTCATATAATACCGTATATATTTGAGAAAATAGGCTGAAAAGGAACTATTTATGCATATTCTATCCGTAAAATGGCAAAAACGTCAATAAATTACAAATATTTACCCATCATTTGCGATAACTCTGGTGCCGGTAATGGCTGCCAGAATTTGGAAGCTTTGTTATGCCTCAATTATGGACACGCAGAGACAAATCGGCTTGCACAACGTTGCCCTGGGCACTGCCTTGCCGACGAGTGACGGCCAGCTGCCACGATTGGGTCCGTGCTGGGGCGCGTCAATTAGAGGCAGGTACTTAGATAGTTATTTTGGTCATGCATGATCAGAAGGCACTTTTCGTTTAAATTAGACGTATTTATGTGATTCCCACGCTGCAAATGACCCGTCTTGCGGACGCGTCGTAAAGAGGCCATCTTGTTAAGCTTGGGTGATCTATAATGGGTTACGGCTGTTTCCCGCACGATCTTGAGCTTGTGCGTGGTATAGCGTCCATTTCCATTAGTATTTTGTGAAAGAACAGCTTTTGATAATGTTGCAAGCATGTTATGCTCGTGTCTGTATATTTTTTAAATTATTTTGGGCATCATCATGAAATATGCTAGGCATTTTTGGTTGTTTGCTTTCACTCCCCTGGCTGTTCACCAGCTATGCTGGGTAATACCTCCATTCTCCTGTATGTACAGTGAACCATTTTTACATGTTGCATTACATGTTACATCATAGCATATTGCCCATGTGGCACATGCCAAGGGTGCTCTTTAAACCCTGATTTTGACTCTGGAGATGAGTCTGCCAAAAATCCTTTCACTGTTGGATGCTACATAACATCCATGTGGCCTGACTTGTGGAAGCATTCAGTAAGTTGGACAAGGCAAATTGACTCAAATTTTTAAACTGCTGTGGTGTAAAAACATTTTCAGACTCCTGTTGTGCAAAATTGCCTTTATAACATTGTGATGCCCTGAAACATTGGGCCTCTATGCAGTGAAATTGGTGGCCATTGTGTATAGGATTCTGTCTGCATTATGCATGCAATGCATCTGCATATGCATTGAAACTGTTGCAGTAATGTCACTGTTATGCCAGATATGTTCAGCATAATTTGTTGTTTTTGCACTCTGGACAAGAAGCATGAAACAAAGATAGCTATCCTGCTCGCCATGAATAGAAGAGAATGGTGTTTGATTTTGGGGATTTTAATGTTAAAAAAGATGAGCATCATTTATATTTACACCTGAGTGTAACTACTGCATCCAAACTCATCCCAGCCCCTTTGTTGTACTTTGGTTTGTCAAATGTCCATCCAAACCCTTATGTCCTTGCATGTTTAAAGAATGCATAGATGGTCCCCTTTTCCCTTCTGACATGGTTCTTAGAAATGTTTTGGAATATCCCTTTGAATGTGTGCAAAAAGCATACTTTGCAATAGGTATGCTCATTTTACAAAAGACTTGGGTCATTATCACTCTGTCTGCTCCTCAGAACATACTTTGTCAGATGCTGGCAGGCATCAGTACATTTAGAAATTTTAGCAGGTAGATCCAATTCGCCAAAAAGGTGTATGATACTGAAGGCCATCAAGCAGTCAACCTAATGCCTTCTCTATCTGAATTATGTAATGTATAGTACAGGATGAGTTGATCCAGTACATTAGAGACAGTGCTCCTTCATGCAATTTAACACAGTATCCTTCCCATATAAGCATATAAGTCCATGCAAAAATGGCACTTGACTGAGGATGGAGGAATACCAATGCTGTAAGCATGTAATGTACCTGTATTTTTAAGTCAGGCCTTGCATTGTGTGCTCTATTAAAGATGTCTTTGAGCTCAACACATCAGGGTTACATAAGATTACTAAATAAGCTAGCTGCAGTCATGTTGACAGGCAAACATTGAATGGTTCTGCTTTATGGTGCATAGGCTGCCTTGACAGTGCATGCTTGCTGCAGTTGAAATACTCCTGGGGTATGCGCTTAAGCTGGGGATTTCGCCATCTTTGTGAATGGCATTCCGCTACATGTCAGTGCACCATCAAGCATTTTGCTGAATTTTTGCCTCAACATGCCTGCTGAAGCAGTCACATGAGCGAGGTGTTTCCTGTGGAGGGTTCATGTGCAAAGTGATGCAGACTGTTCTTTGCAATATGCACCTGACTTTACCTGAGTGGCACCAAAGTACATGAAGTGTGGCAGGAGGGAGACCTAGGTGTGCTTGGAGACAGCCAGCTGAGATTTTGGGAGCAGGCAACACCAGCAATGTCAAAAGCAAAGCTGCTTCATGAATTTGCAGTCATAACTACTTCACAGCAGAATCATGCCTTTGTCCCATTTTTATGTTTTTATCTCTTAACTCTACTTATCTGTTGACTTCACATTTGGTGTATATTCATGCATGTTTGAATGTTTGTAAATTTTAGGTGCTTTCACTCTGTATGACATAGGTCCAAGAAAAGGCCATGTTGGTTTGGGTCATTCATTCACTGTTGATGGACTTGCAATGTAAACTAAATAGTTCTTAAATCAGCAACCCAGGTGGTGATCATTCTGTGGTAGTTGTTTGTGAACCTTAGCCCCTGCTTGCTTGTACTTGTATACATATACAGCATACACTGAGTACAGCTTCATCATACAAGGGTCATTTGGTAGTCTGGGCTTGAACAATGTGGGGCAGATCCAAAGATAAGGACAAGCCTTGTCTGGAAAGTGAGGGAACAGCATCATCTGGGGGGGGGACTCAGTTGCCTCAGGGTGTCATTACTGTACTACGGATATTGGCTGAGTGACATCATCATTGTATTCTGTCGCTGATCCTTGGTGGAGTGGTCTGCCATTAAAAGTCCTTCACAAGAGTCAAATCAGATTTTACTAGCACCCACCATTAGAAAATATCTCATATATCAGGAGCCAATGCTGGATATCTGGAGCCAGTACTGTTTAAGATAGTCCCATAAAGCCCTTTTTACCACATTGATTTGAGTGATTCACATGAATGGTTTTCAATTGAGTACCTGCTAAGCAAACCCTGTGTGTACTCTGAACACACCACCCAGGCTGTGCCATCTAGTTCAATGGATAATTTTGCCTGCACCCTTTCGCCGGACATTGCTGAGGAGGGTGTCACGTGCTGCACAATGCTGTAGCACCCTTGGCCTGAGGCCTGGTCACCCTCTTTGGTCAGCTGTCAGCTGAATGTCAGTTGCCTGCATTTCATTTGGGCCAAACAATGCACACTCCTTTGGACTTGCACCTAGTACCACGGGGCTGCTAGTTCAGCATCTTCTTGTGTTGCATGGAGATGGTGCCTGACTTCACATGATGTTCCCTTTGACTGGAATGCCCTCCTGTGTGACACGTTGTCCCTAGCCAGCACTGTGCGACTCAGACCCAAGCCAGGCTCACACTGCATCCACGCCATGTATGGCATACCTCATGCTGGGACATTCCGCATGACAGGGACAATGGAATTTTCCCCAAGCTAGGTGGGAGCAGAGGCTGCAATACACATTTGGTAATTTTGCTCATCTCTTTCTAGCCCATGGCATAGGGTCAGTTTAATATCCTAAGAAAGTGAGCGTTAGTTAGCTCCCCTGGTGCCCTAGTTCCCATGCAGTCCCACCTGAAAAGGCAGAAACAAATGAAGTTCAGTGAGGCTGGGTTCCAGCAGAAAAAGTCGTTCTATTTCCTGAAAGCTGACAAGTAAGCTAAGCTGGCGGACACACATGTCACTGAACCTTAAAATGTCTAATTTTCACTCCTAATGCTTCTTCGCTGTTTGTTCTCTAGTCACAAGTTATCACCATAGCAACGGCCTGAGAGCTGTAACGTGCTCTGGTTCGCCACAGGACAATGGCAGCCCGAATTGTTCGCGATGCCTTCCCACACATGGACGAAGATCTGTTCCAGTATGTGGAAGGTACGTTTCCTCGCCGTGCACGACCTTGTATGCGTGCAGCAGTGTCCAAACACAATCCATGTGCGTAGTATTGGGCAGCGAAGGTCGCTTCTTACCGAATAAACATTGCTTTCGGCGGGCCTGTTGTACCGGAAACGGTCTCGTCCTGCACCGCCAGGCTTCACAAACGGGAGATCCAGGAGCCACGCTGTCTCCTCTCATCCCTCGCCGGGATCTTGTGCGGCCCTCCTGATGTCAATGACAGTACATATCTAACCAGGTGGTGTTCTGGTAATTGTTCGCCCCTCCCAGGGTGACCAGCTTGAACCCCTAGACCTCCCTACGTCCCCGGACATAAGGATATCTTGGTGTGTGCCCTCCCCCCTCGCAGCCGCGATATCTGGGCTCAGATTTTGGCTCTGAGGATGCGCAAATTCTTGATGTGCCTGTGTTTTGAGGAATATGTGATGCGATGTGCATGACAGGTACTTAAGCTTTTTTCGTATTCATTCTGTAAATAAGGCGGGTACTCGTCGAGTGACAATTATTCGAATGATTCCTAGAACAGACATTCAGTTTTCTTGATTTGGGGTTTGTTAGCTGGCTTGATCCTTTGCCCCGCCTCCTCAACCGCATTCTTAAAAAAAACATCAGCAAGGAAGCAAACGAAAATGCGTTTGTTACAGGCGCATGGTGTTAACGATGACCCGTTGATTTCACTCGTGCTTCCATCTAAGACCTTCACTTTCAAAGGACCCACTGATATGTAACTCCAGGAATCAATTCTGACAACCGGATTCAACCATAGCTTCCGTTGCCCTTTTCTTCCGGGCTAAGTCGCGGTCTGTTATATGCGTAGGGACGATCCTAGTTCAGATAAGATATCAAACCGCTTTAGGTCAAAGGTCGTTGGTGGCGCGTGTTGTCTTTGCTGCATCGAAAATGCCCTGAATGAGAGAATGTGCCTTGCTTGGTGGGTTTGGGAGTTTGGAGAGATTTGCTATCACATCGGAAATTTTCCAGTCGCATCATGAGTCAAATTTCAACTTGCGTATTGTTTAGTTCTAAATGTTTTCACGCTGCATCCTGATTCACTAATCTTTGAATCACTGGCGTGAGTGCGAACATGTGAGTGACTCATGTTGTCGTGGTGTTTCCAGCGCCGATTATGAGTAGTCTAATTCACTACCTAAATGCAGTTATGGTTTCTTAACTAGCGGTATAACTTCGGTCAACGTGTCCCTTAATTAGTCATACCGCATGCATCTAGCCAGGACAAATCGCCGATCTGACCTTGGCTGTGATGTGTGTTTCCGCGAGCAGCTACGGCGGATCCGTGGCGGATATCATAAGTGAGCGTACTGCCAGCCATGAGCCCTTCATTAGCTGTGGGTTTGTCCTCACATTACATGCTTATGTTATGCTGCATGGCCTGAGCACGATAAGAGGTCATAATGCAAACTTCGGGGCCGCTGCGCCACCGGTCGAGTTGATCCATTTCCCCGATCGCATCCAGGTTAGGATTCGCCTATTATCCACATTTCCACCTGGCCCGTGTCTGCCGTTACTCCCGATTTGATGTATTTTCCTGCCGCATTCAGGTGAATACGTACCTTTCAAAATGATTGTTTAATTTGTGTGATGGTCTTCGATGGTGGTCGAAAGTATGCATGCCGATATCTCTGGAACTGTCGTCACGTCACCGAGGTGTCCGGACAAAAATCGACTCAATTTGTCGAGCGCCTGTTTGTCGACTGGTATATGACGACTTCCATGTCAGCGACATGGAAGAATGCCGACGTGCCGAAATGGGAAGCTCCTTAATGACGGCTAGCAACGTGGCGACATGTCAACAAGCTGACATGCCGAAATGACGAACGGCTAAATGGCAAATTGCAAAAGCACGCCGCCGTGCCGTGGCTGGATGCATCCGAAGCTGGGGGTAGATTGCATTCCCCGAGCCGGAATTTCCCGCCGCCTTTCGCCTCCACATCTGGTGGAGGACCTAGGCCCCGGGTTGTCAGGTATGGCTGTACCTAGCGCCGGCTGACCACGGATCCGTACTTACCGACTGGTTCGCGCCAGCGGCCGCCGCAGCGGCTGAAGCGGCGCTCGTGATGAGATTGGCGGCGTATTCCGCCGTATATAAGGCGCGGATGGCGGACAGCAGGCACCACTCTTTCTGCCGGTGTCATGTCGCTACTGCGGGCTCTTCTGCTGACGGTCGCCTTGAGTCCGGCCCTGCTTGATGCGTTCGAACAACCCTCCCTGAGCTTTCAACAGGTAGACGATGGCAGGCCCGTTCCCATTTCCCAAGGTGACGAGGTGTCCCCTAGCGAGCGGCAGACCAAGTGGACGTTCATCGCGCTACTGGGGGCCCGCCAGCCGGACGGCTCGGTCCGCTGGTTGTGCGGCGGCTCACTGCTCAGCTCGCGCCACGTGCTGACGGCGGCCCACTGTCTAGTCAGAGTGGCGCCCAGTCAGCTGGTGGTGCGGCTCGGTGAGACCTGGCTCGGCACGACCACCGACGGCCAGCACGCCGATCGGGACGTGCTGCGCGTCGTCGTGCACCCGGAACATGTTGGCTTCAAGAACGACCTGGCCATGCTGACGCTGTCGGCGGCCGTGAGGCAGCAGCCGGCACAGCTGGGTTCGGTGCGGCCCGGCCAGCGCGCCACCGTCGCCGGCTGGGGCGTGACGAGGTTTGCCGGCCGCCCGTCCTCCGTGCTGCTGGAGGCGGACGTGACAGTGACGGATCCGACCGAATGTGAGCGCCTGCACCTGGACGGCGCCGCGCCCAACTCGCTCGTGCGCCAGCTGTTCCCGGGCGGCTTCGGTGGCCGTATGCTGTGTGCAGCCGACCTGACCGGCGGTGGCCGGGACGCGTGTCGCGCCGACTCCGGCGGTCCGCTGGCCGTCGGCCCCGCCGGCCGGCAGCGGCTGGTGGCCGTGGTGTCGAGTGGCCGCGGCTGCGGCGACGCGGGCTTGCCCAGCGTCTACACCGACCTCAGCAAGTATATGGACTGGATGTGGCGGCAGCTGAACCACACACCTGTTTTACATGAAAACGCCTTGGACGTGGCTCAACCTTTTGACACCAGGTTTTTTTCAGTAGAGCTTGACCGTGGTGTTGAGCTGGGAAGGTTGGCTTCGAGTGTTATCGGCAGGGGACTTGATCAGTAGACTCGCAGAGATTGTCGTTGTGGTAGCGGGAAGAATGGTTTCAAGCCCATGTCACATGGGCCGTGTCAAGATGCTGCTAATCTTTGAACTACAACTGTGACTCATGTTGAGGAAACTTTGGGGTAGAAATTCGCTGTTGTAGCTCCTGGCTGCAGTTGGTGTTAGAATGTTAGGTTGGAAATAATATGTTTTCCCAATACTTTTGTGGTCATTGCCGAGTTGTCCTGGTATGTCTACGTCCTGATGTCTCAAGAATCCTGGAAAATGCTATGCTTGGAGTTTTGAAAGAAAAGTATTTTGTTGGCTGACCAGTCGTGATGATTTTGGGCACTACTTTTTCGATAACTTCCATGCGAAAAATGTGTTTGCCAATATCCGCCGTATGCAAGTGGCACCATTTACGGGCGGTAACATTTGGCACGCATTTCCTTACCTTTTTAGACACGCTTTTTACACGCTCCACATTTATTCGACTATTTCCGCGATGCAACATTATCACACTTTATGTGCGAGCTGTAACCAGAGTACTTGCACGTTGCATCAAGTCTTCAAGCAAAATAATGGACATGGCCAGTCAAAGTGTACAAGCTAAAATGACTGCCGACAGCACGGGACGGGGAGGGGGTCACGGGGTCGTCCGATGCCACGGCTGTGGGTAAATGAGCCGCGACCTGGCGGCGGAGTGGAACGGACCTCTGGCACGCCCCCTCGCCGGCAGGGGTGCTCGACTCGGGCGAGGAGTTTGAGTCCGGCGATGACGTGTACGAGGCGATCGGCGGCATCGTAGAGCAGGTGGCCGGCGACGACAGCGAGCACGTGGTTCGGTCAGTGTTGTGACCTGTCCTGACCTGCCCTCGGTACACCGATCTGTCCTGACCTGACATCGGTACACCGATCTGTCCTGACCTGACGTCGGTACACCGATCTGTCCTAACCTGACGCCGGTGCACCGCTCTGTCCTGACCTGCTGTCGGCGCACCGCTCTGTCCTGACCTGACGTCGGTGCACCGATCTGTCCTGACGTGCCGTCGTTGCACCGATCTGTCCTGACCTGACGTCGGTACACCGCTCTGTTCTGACCTGCCGTCGGTGCACCGCTCTGTCCTGACCTGACGGCGCACCGCTCTGTCCTGACCTGACGTCGGTACACCGCTCTGTCCTGACCTGCCGCCGGTGCACCGTTCTGTCCTGACCTGACATCGGTACACCGCTCTGTTCTGACCTGACGTCGATACACCGCTCTGTCGTGACCTGACGTCGATACACCGTTCTATCCTGACCTAACTTCTGGTCCGTCGTGCTCTGTTCTCATGTTGCCCTGGTACGGATTTGCTTTACCGACTTGCTTATGCGGTCCGCTTGCGCCTACTAAGGCGTGCTCTCTGTCATCAAATCTCATATGTTGAATTGACAAACGTAATCAGTACGTCTCAATCCGACCATGCGTGACAACGCCAGTGTCCACCAGCGGTGAACGCTTAGTGGGTGGCGAGGAGCGAAGGAATTGGTGGAGGCTATGCTAAACACCACATTCCAGCGGGGACTGCGGTCTCGACGTCGACCTGTGCGCGAGGTCTTCTCCGCCGTTGTTCTGTGCAGGGTACAGTGGCCTTGAGCGTGACCTGTCGGTGACCTGACCGTAACCCTGACCGGGGGTGGTGATCGGCAGCCTGCTTTGTGACCGGGTGATGGCGCAGCTGCGAGTTAGTGCTCCGGACGGCCACCAGGTGGCCAACGGCGGCCGGAAGCGACTGGAGGCGCCCGTGCACCTGGGTTCGCTGGCCGGAGACGACACGGTCCAGGAGATGCCCAGCATCTGGCTGGCGCAGAAGGAGGTCGTCTCGGTCAGTCCCGCTCAGGGGTGTGGGAATTGGATTGAACGGGATTGGGTGGAATGGAATGGAATAGAATGGAATGGGATGAGATGTGATGTGGTGTGATTGATGTGATGTGATGTGATTTGATAAGATGAGATGAGATGAGATGAGATGGGACGCGATGGGATGGCATTGACTTGAATTGAATGAGACGGGGCCGGGTACGGTAGTGGAACGATGGAGGCTAGGCCCGGATCTTTTGCGGCTCCCTGTCCTTGACCACTCAGCTGCTGTCTGGCTGTGAAAGCACATGTGCGGCACCTCAGCTCCATTGGCAGATGTAGTGAGACTGAGTTCTGACCTAAAATGCTTGAGGTAATCACGGCTGATCATCAGGACCGGCCTTTTTCTGCATGGCTGATGTGTCAGAAGAGACCAGACTTGTTTGGTGTTGTGGCCATCAGTAATCCAGAAGGATTCGGTGGTAGCTTGCAATGACCGCAAAGAGGAGAGCAGAAAACCCAAACCCCATATAAAGCCATCTGTTTTCGTGCATGGTCACAGCGTCAATGTTAAACTTCCAGGAAGTGTGTCCAGTACCTTTGACCCCTGTCCGTACATCTACGCCAGGCTTAGATCTTTAGCGAAAACGGTGTAGTATCGTGCTAAGGTCTCGGCAACGTGAACACGATGGCGAACTACCTCACCCTCCCTCTCACTGGCGAGTGCTCACTTCACCCCTCACTCTCACCGATGAATGCTCAACTCACCCCTCTCTCGCCGGCAAGTGCTCACCTCACACCTCCCTCTCACCGGCGAGTGCTCACATCACCCCTCTCTCTCACCGGCGAGTGCTCACCTCACACCTGCCTCTCACCGGCGAGTGGTCACCTCACACCCCCATCTCACAGGCGAGTGCTTCCCTAACCCCCCTTTCACAGGCGAGTATTCATCTCACACCTCCCTCTCACAAGTGAGTTCACCTCACACATCCCCTCACCGGCGAGTGCTTGCCTCACACATCCCTCTCACCGGCGAGTGTTCGTCTCACACCTCCGTTTCACCGGCGAGTGCTCACCTCACACCCTCATCTCACCGACGAGTGTTCACTTCACACCTCCCTCTCATCGGCGAGTGTTCACCTCACACCTCCGTCTCACCGGCAAGCGTTCACCTCATACCTTCCTCTCACCGGCGAGTGCTCACCTCACACCTTCCTCTCACCGACGAGTGCTCACGTCACACCTTCATCTCACCGACGAGTGCTCACCTCACCGGCAAGTGCTCACCCCACCCTTTCCTCTCACAGGCGAGTATTCAACTCATACCTCCCTCTCACAGTCGAGTCTTCACCCCATACATCCCTCTCACCGGCGAGTGTTCACCTCACACCTCCGTCTCACCGCCGAGTGCTCGCCTCACCCCTCCGTCTCACCGGCGAGTGCTCACCTCACATCTCCCTCTCATCGACGAGTGCTCACTTCACACCTCTCTCTCTCATCGACTAGTGCTCACCTCACCCCCTCCGCTCTGCCATCCGCCGCTAGCGCGTGGACACCAAGAAGCTGGAGAAGGCTGAGGAGAAGATCAAGAAGAAGCTGGAGAAGCAGAGCGCGGCACCGGCGCCGGCGGCGGCCAGCCTGGCCGAGAAGACGGCCAGCGCCTCGCAGGTCATCTCCAAACGCGACGTGCGCGCAGAAGCCCGCGGCGCCAACATGTGCAAGGACATTCGCATCGAGAACTTCGACATTACCATCGGAGACAAGTGGGTGCGGTGGGAGTAGAGTGGGGGCGGGGGGGGGGGGGCAAAGCACGCACATGCGACGTGCGCGAAGGGCGGTGCGGTGAGTGGGAAAGATGTTGGTGACTATAGTGTGTTGCCTGCCCAGCATTCCTGTGGAGCATGCTGATATCAGTGTCTATTCTGAACCCTCTGCGCCATGTCGGCGGAAGAGGGATGCCGGTGTCAGCGTGTCCTGCACCGTCCATCGCGTCCTCGCGTGGTGTTGTTGACGAAGCGTGCGCCGTCTGCCCTGTCCCTGCAGGAGGCCGAGGTCAGACGAGGTCAGGGTGTGCACCCACCACATCCCCACTGGGTGCACCTGATGTCAGTGTGCCCCCTGACCCGTGCCGCCGTGTCTCGGCAGGGTGCTGATGACCGGGGCGGACATAACGCTGGTGTACGGCCGGCGGTACGGCTATGTGGGCAGGAACGGCCTCGGCAAGACCACCATGCTGCGAATGATTTCCAGGTGGGTGAAGCCCGCGGCTGCTTCACCACCACCAACACGCCAGCTGCTAAACGGAAAACACGCCATGCAATGAGTGTAAAAGAACTTCACCTTGCGCACGATCGAAAGATCGAATCACCTCCGGTGCGACACGCGCACGTGATGCCCACTCGTCCAAGGCCTTCGCTTCGGTGTGTTTTGTCCGTTACCTCCGTCTCAAGAGGCTCATTGTCTGTATGTGAAGCGAGTTACGCGAAGTGATGACGTCATTTTTTAGAGGGAAATATGAAGCGTTTGACGTATTCATGGAGTAAGTGCGCTTGAAAACGTGTCGGACTCAATTCGTACCTTGGCATTTTGCCGACGTCTACCCGTCAGCTGGCGAGAGAGATGCGATGTTGGTGTCATCATCTAAATCACGCGAATGCCGTAAACAAATCATCAAACTGTCGTGAGAGCCTGTCATGCACATGTTCATTCGTAAATCACCGACCCGTTACTCCATCGTCCACTCGTTCTTGCTTGACGCATTGCTGGCGCTCGGTTTCGTAGCCGAACAGACCTTGGTCTGCCGCCTGATGATACAAACTGCGGGGCACCACCGGCGCCTGTCGGCGGCCCGCCGCCGCCTCTCACGGCCGGCGGCGCTGTTCCAGCGGCCAGCTGGTGATCCCCTCGCACGTGAGCGTGCTGCACGTGGAGCAGGAGGTCACCGGCGACGAGACGGAGGCGCTGCAGTCGGTGCTGGAGTGCGACACGGCGCGGGAGGAGCTGCTGGCGCGGGAGCGCCACCTCACCGCGCGCATCAACGACGGGTGAGCGTTCGGACGGCGGCGAGAGTGGATGCCGGCGTTGCTGAAGATGTTGTTACTGAGCGGCCTCGGCCCGGCCCGGGCCGACACGGTCGGTCGCTGTTTGGACGGGGCTATATGCTTGCAGCAGTGAGCATAGCGCCAGAGAGTTTCAGGGACAGGCAGTGCATTTTTAAAACTTGTTCTATCGCATTTTCAGGACTTCCACATGTGGGCTGTTTGTTTGACTACACAACATTGTAACATTGTTGGTACATTTATGGTAGCAATCTGATGTTAAAATTCACCTCCGTTTTCGTGATAAAGATAAGAAAATCGTGTTACCCAAGGGTATGCTATCGTGTTGCATAACATGATGACATAAAGTTTGCACAGTGTAAGAAACGTCAAGCGCAGGGTATCGAAATTGGATCATAATCTTTTCAACCTGGAGAAGCAACGGCCCGAGGCCAACACCGTTGGACGAACGAGGGCGAACAGTCGCGAACTTCATGGACCGATCCGAACCGAACTGTAGCCGTGGATCAATATCTAGCCATGGACCGAACACCAGCTATGTACCGACCTCCAGCCATCGGCCGACCTCCAGCCATGGACCGACGTCCAGCCATAGACTGGACGCCAGCCATGGATCAAACTCCAGCCATCGACCGAACTCCAGCCATCGACCGAATTCAGTCATGGACCGAATCCAGCCATGGATCGAACCACAGCCATGGAGCCCAGCCAGCCATGGTCAGCGGTTCATGACTCCCGGAGTCCGGTCTGGGACGCCCGGGGGAGAGATTCCGACGGAATGGTGCGGGCTCAGACCACGCTGGGCTGAGACATGAAGATGACTTCTGGACAGACTGGAGCGCATCTGGCGTTGAACAACCCTCTCCACGATAGTAGCAACGACTGGGAGGATTTACACGGGACGGTGACCTCCCCCTCCCCCCCCTCCCCCTCCCCCTCCCCCTCCCCCCTCCCCCTCCCCCTCCCCCTTCCCCCCGCCGACTCCGGCGGTGGTCACTTGGTGAGGTGAGGTCAATCGGCACGCGAGAATGCGGCGGTAGCTCCCCGGCCGATGACGCCACAATGGAAATACGTCACCTACAAGACGCTTCCCGGTTTGTCAGCAAACACCGCGCCTGCGGACGTGTGGGCAATGCTACAAAACGCCAGTAGACTGCGGTGGTCTTGCGGCTAGCGTAGTCACAAGAACAGATTGATAGAATGACCGCAAGATGAGCCATCACTAACTAGCCGTAACGACTGTTGAACGGCAGGGAAAACGCTGCCCTCTTCTGTGAAGAACGGGCGTCAGCTTACTCGTTGCAGTTGGTCATGTTGTGTGTATGTTATTGGGCGTTAGTGGAAGGACCAATGGACCCAATACAGTTATCTGTTGCGTATTCCGGACACCAGTATGTCCGTTTATTAGAACATGGTGGTTCGTACTGTGGCGTCTTTCCGACGTGTTGATCGCCCCCCCCCCCCCCCCCCCCGTCTCCGGACACCAGGATGCCGTGCTGTGGTGACCCTCCCCTCCCGTCTCCAGCCACCAGGACGCCGTGCCGTGGTGACCCTCCCCTCCCGTCTCCAGCCACCAGGACGCCGTGCCGTGGTGACCCTCCCCTCCCGTCTCCAGCCACCAGGACGCCGTGCCGTGGTGACCCTCCCCTCCCGTCTCCAGCCACCAGGATGCCGTGCCGTGGTGACCCTCATCTCCCGTCTCCAGCCACCAGGACGCCAACCTCTCGGAGCAGCTGTCGGAGGTGTACGCGCGCCTGCAGGCCTCGGACGCGGACCGGGCGCCGGCGCGCGCAGCGGTTATCCTGCGTGGTCTCGGCTTCAGCCCCGAGATGCAGAAGCGGCCCACCCGCGAGTTCTCCGGCGGCTGGCGGATGCGGCTGGCGCTCGCCCGCGCCCTCTTCTCACAGTGAGCTCGCAGGCCTCTTCTCACAGTCAGCTCGCAGGCCTCTTCTCACAGTCAGCTCGCAGGCCTCTTCTCACAGTGAGCTCGCAGGCCTCTTCTCACAGTCAGCTCGCAGGCCTCTTCTCACAGTGAGCTCGCAGGCCTCTTCTCACAGTCAGCTCGCAGGCCTCTTCTCACAGTGAGCTCACAGGCCTCTTCTCACAATCACCTTGCAGGCCTTCTCACAGTCAGCTTGCAGGACTTCTCACAGTCAGCTCGCAGGACTTCTCACAGTCAGCTCGCAGGCCTTCTCACAGTCAGCTCGCAGGACTTCTCACAGTCAGCTCGCAGGCCTTCTCACAGTCAGCTCGCAGGCTTTCTCACAGTCGGCTCGCAGGCTTTCTCACAGTCAGCTCACAGGACTTCTCACAGTCATCTCGCAGGCCGTCTCACAGTCAGCTCGCAAGCCTTCTCACAGTGAGATCTCAGGCCCCTTCTCATGAGCTCGCAGGCCCCTTCCCACAATCAGCTCGCAGGCCTTCTCACAGTCAGCTCGGAGGCTTTCTCACAGTGAGATCTCGGGCCTCTTCTCGTAGTGAGCTCGCAGGCCTGTTCTCAAAGTGAGTTCGCCAGCTGTGCGTGTCGCAGCTGGCCTCTTGTGAAGCGGTGCGAGGCTGATCTCATGGCTGCTAGTCAATGGGAAGTGTGCGCGCTCTCGTCTGGCGGTACCGCCACGCCCCAAGCGTGTGCTTTGTGGTCCATGACGACACTGTGTGAGACCTGAGAACGTTCGTGGTCACTCACCGCTCCTGCGGGCGGTAGCGCACAGCCTCACCGCGGCACCAGCGATGGCGGGCTTGCCTTACATACCGCGATAGACCTGGCTCGTCGCTGACACTGTCAGTGTGTCACTGGGCGCCCTGCTGACACACGTCAGACCACTGCGAGCGGCCGCTGACGGGGGTGCCCGCGCCTGCCAGGCCGGACCTTCTGCTGCTGGACGAACCGACGAACATGTTGGACATGAAGGCCATCATCTGGCTGGAGGACTACCTGCAGACGTGGCCGTCGACGCTGCTGGTGGTGTCGCACGACCGCCAGTTCCTCGAGGTGGTGCCCACCGACATCCTCTTCCTGCACAACCAGAAGATCGACTGCTACAAGTGAGGACGGCCGCCGCGTCGCCACCCACGCCCGGCCTCTGGGCGTGGTCTTTTGGTGTCGTCTGTGACGGCGCTCGGACCCAGGTGGCGTAAGCGGGAGTTTCGAGGCACTGTTCAGGAGACGTTCTGGCTTGTTGTATTAGCAGCACACGTCAGTGGGGCGAAGATTAGTTGAGACGCACGATAAAAGTGGAATTATGAAGGCGTTTGCAGTGTAAGTGATACGCATAACGCGATAATGCGTGTTGATATATGTTGCTACCTATTTGGGATCTGTAACTTCAGTGCTCTGGGTATTATTGTATACCGCCCACCCTTCTGCTTGCAGAGGTAACTATGAGCACTTTGTGAAAGCCAAGACGGAGAAGATGAAGAATCAGCAACGGGAGTATGAAGCTCAGGTAAGTGCCAACAGGACTCTGCTTCGTGTCAGTTTTGTTACAGGGTCACTTGACGACCTCGGCTGGCTGGTCAAAAGAACGGCAGGATCTCAGCACCTGTGGCTTGTGTTTTATCTCCTCGATCTCACAACCCTGGCTGCCGTGTCGTTGAGTTCGTTTCGTCGCCGATGCTTGTCTCCCGGGTGGTTCAGCGTGTCGCTCTGTAGCGCGCGCCTGTATTCCGCAACCCTCCGACGGCTGAATGACGTGCTGCCAACGGGCACTACCGCTTACGCGTCAGCTGAGACGCAGTCTTAGGCGAGTCAGGGACTGATGCCCGGCCTGGCCCTGTCCGAAATGTTCGTGTCTTCATGGTTGTGCTTGTCTGGGTCTCTTCAGATGGCGTTTAGGGCACACGCCCAGGAGTTTATCGACAAGTTCAGATATAACGCCAAGAGAGCGTCGCTGGTCCAGAGCAAGATCAAGATGCTGGAAAAGCTGTAAGTGAACATGTCTTCCATAGGATGAGATGGAGTAAGCGCAGCATTCATTGAACTCACCAAGCTGTGCGGTCGAACGGCTGCGGTTGTAGCATGCCGAACGGCCGCGGCAGTGGGAGTCCGACCGCGGCGCGGAGTGTGTACGCTGCCGCTCCGACCGTGTGTCGGTGTCGTGCGCGGCGGTTGTGCTCCGCCATCGGAGTGTGTACGCTGCCGCTCCGACCGTGTGTCGGTGTCGTGCGCGGCGGTTGTGCTCTGCCATCGGAGTGTGTACACTGCCGCTCCGGCCGTGTGTCGGTGTCGTGCGCGGCGGTTGTGCTCTGCCATCGGAGTGTGTACGCTGCCGCTCCGACCGTGTGTCGGTGTCGTGCGCGGCGGTTGTGCTCTGCCATCGGAGTGTGTACACTGCCGCTCCGGCCGTGTGTCGGTGTCGTGCGCGGCGGTTGTGCTCTGCCATCGGAGTGTGTACGCTGCCGCTCCGACCGTGTGTCGGTGTCGTGCGCGGCGGTTGTGCTCTGCCATCGGAGTGTGTACGCTGCCGCTCCGGCCGTGTGTCGGTGTCGTGCGCGGCGGTTGTGCTCTGCCATCGGAGTGGTAGCTGTCATTTCCCGTCTGTTATTCGTACGCCGTCCACCGCTGTCACGGCCATCTCCGCCGTCCGCCTGTGTACCTCCACCGTTCGCTGTGTGACCCGCCCCCAGTCCTCCGGGGGTGATCACCGTTCGCCTGTGTACCTCCACCGTTCGCTGTGTGACCCGCTCCCAGTCCTCCGGGGGTGATCACCGTTCGCCTGTGTACCTCCACCGTTCGCTGTGTGACCCGCTCCCAGTCCTCCCGGGGTGATCACCGTTCGCCTGTGTACCTCCACCGTTCGCTGTGTGACCCGCTCCCAGTCCTCCGGGGGTGATCACCGTTCGCCTGTGTACCTCCACCGTTCGCTGTGTGACCCGCTCCCAGTCCTCCCGGGGTGATCACCGTTCGCCTGTGTACCTCCACCGTTCGCTGTGTGACCCGCTCCCAGTCCTCCGGGGGTGATCACCGTTCGCCTGTGTACCTCCACCGTTCGCTGTGTGACCCGCTCCCAGTCCTCCGGGGGTGATCACCGTCCGCCTGTGTACCTCCACCGTTCGCTGTGTGACCCGCTCCCAGTCCTCCCGGGGTGATCACCGTTCGCCTGTGTACCTCCACCGTTCGCTGTGTGACCCGCTCCCAGTCCTCCCGGGGTGATCACCGTCCGCCTGTGTACCTCCACCGTTCGCTGTGTGACCCGCTCCCAGTCCTCCGGGGGTGATCACCGTCCGCCTGTGTACCTCCACCGTTCGCTGTGTGACCCGCTCCCAGTCCTCCCGGGGTGATCACCGTTCGCCTGTGTACCTCCACCGTTCGCTGTGTGACCCGCTCCCAGTCCTCCCGGGGTGATCACCGTTCGCCTGTGTACCTCCACCGTTCGCTGTGTGACCCGCTCCCAGTCCTCCGGGGGTGATCACCGTTCGCCTGTGTACCTCCACCGTTCGCTGTGTGACCCGCTCCCAGTCCTCCGGGGGTGATCACCGTTCGCCTGTGTACCTCCACCGTTCGCTGTGTGACCCGCTCCCAGTCCTCCGGGGGTGATCACCGTTCGCCTGTGTACCTCCACCGTTCGCTGTGTGACCCGCTCCCAGTCCTCCGGGGGTGATCACCGTTCGCCTGTGTACCTCCACAGTCCGGTGCTGGTGCCGATCGTGCCGGAGGGGGAGGTGGTGCTCAAGTTCCCGCCAACCGAGCCGCTAAACCCGCCCGTGCTGCAGCTGGACGAGGTCGACTTCCGCTACCCCACTTCCGACCGCTACATCTTCCGCAAGGTCGACCTCAGCACCAGCATGGAGTCACGCATCTGCATTGTGAGTGAGGCTGCTGGTGTAGCGGGTACCAGCGGGGGCACGGCTCCCTCTTTCCGATCTCCGCTCACTTGCCCCCTCCCGACGGCTTGAGGGCCTCGCTGGCGGGCTCTGTTGGCGGCCGGTAAGTGACCAGTTGCTCCGTCCGCCGCCAGGTGGGAGAGAACGGCGCCGGCAAGACGACGCTGCTGAAGATCCTGATGGACGACCTGTCGCCGGTGGCTGGCATGCGGCACGCGCACCGCAACCTCAAGATCGCGTTCTTCTCGCAGCACCACGTGGACCAGCTAGACATGACCGTGCACTCGATCCAGCTGCTGGCCAAACGGTTCCCAGGTGAGCACCACAGAGCGCGGGGATATGTGAGCAGGCACTGCTGTATGGTCTTGTCCAGACACACAGGTGGACAGAACGCACGGGAAGTGAATGGTCGAAACACGGTTGTTTGAGGCAGGAGTGCTAGCACACGAATGAACATACAAGGATAACAACGTAAATGAGCATGCTATTGCCTTGCTGGCGTGTAGTCTCGGATATGTACCGTGGAACATGAGAGTGTTGCGGACATTAAGGTCGGAAGACAAGCCAACAGCAGTGATGTAGGCTAGCAGTCTGTATTTCATTTTCTGCTGACGCCGCGTGGCGGGCGAGTGACAGTTTTTTTTCTTTTAGAGCGGTTTTTATTCTATTTTACTTAGATCCCTGCGTGGACGCGGACACCGCATGATGCAGCCATATATTAATGAATTCCACAGGCTTCTGAGATAAATCCAAATACGTTGCTCTGTATCGGATGATGCAACAAGCGGGTTAAGTGTTGTGACGAGCGCGCAGGCCGGCAGCTGTGGCTGCCGCTGGGGGTGCTGAGCGCTGACCGGGGCCTGGCCGGCAGGCCGGCCGGTGGAGGAGTATCGTCAGCAGCTGGGCAGCTTCGGCGTGTCCGGGGACCTGGCCACGCAGCAGGTGCGGCTCGACCGACCCCGCCGCCGACTCCGGCCGGAGACGGCTCGGAGACGCTGGCGTGTCGCCGCTGCGGCGGCCGGCCGTGTCGTCTATCGCTCGCCGGCCAACGGCGTGGCAGCTGAGACATCTGTCGGGAGTGGGATTAATTATTGCCTGCGGTCGCCGCCACTTGGGTGACGGCTCATGGTGTCAGCGGTTGGTGTGTCGGCGGAAACGGAGCTGGGGGCGATGTTCACATTTGTCTCTGTCGAGAGTTGCGCCTGTTACCTGCCAAACGTCGTGTGCTACACTCTCGAGCTATATGACAACCAATGTGGGAGAACACAGTGTGGTGTATCTTGACGGTGGTTTGCGTCTTTAAGCACTTTTTCGATGTATCTACGCGTGTCTCGCTGGTGGGTTTGGCAATGCTAATCCATCGCACTTTGCAGTCATGTGATGCATCATTTTTCCCTTGAATACTACGCTTTATACTGCGCTTCATCTGACCTGCGAAACTTTTCCAGCGATCCACAGCGATTACACCAGGAGTTGCTGATGGTATGGTGTTGGTTCCCTCGTGTTCGCCGGACCCACGCTGACCGTGACCGCTCTGGCCGCCAGGTGGGCAGTCTCTCCGGGGGTCAGAAGTCGCGCGTGGCTTTTGCCGCGCTCTGCATGGCGCGACCCAACTTCTTCATACTGGACGAGCCGACCAACCACCTGGACATCGAGACGATCGAGGCGCTCGGACACGCCATCAACCGCTTCAACGTGAGTTTGTCGCCGGTCCCACTGAGTACGGGACGCTGGAGCGGGCGGGCAGGCCGTGTCGCCGAGAGAGCCGCGGCGCTGGAGCGCTGCTGCGGCGTGGCGCTCGAAGAAGCCGGGCGCGGCGGTGTTCAGCTGGCTCAGTGTTGTTGGCCGCTTACTCTCATGTGATGACGATGATGTAGGGTTATAGTGATGCCCGCTGGGCTCTTTGCTGATCACCAGAGTAAGGTCTTTTCGGGCGGTGAGCAGGGATCCGGTATATGGTCTGTTACTTATCCCGTACAGCATAAAGACGGACATCCTTGTTCCCAGCTTGTGGTAAATGGAGCAATGACCCGTGCTATCTCCAGCGCGTGTCCAGGGACCCCAGTAGCATGGCCTGATGCGCGCCGGCCGTGCGCCCTGTCTGTGGCGGCGGCTGGCTGGCCCCGTGCTGCCGCTCTGACGCGCCGTCGCGCCCGCAGGGTGGCGTGATCCTCGTCTCTCACGACGAGCGCCTCATCCGCATGGTGTGCCGCGAGCTCTGGGTCTGCGCGGACGGCACCGTCAAGGCGCTGGAGGGCGGCTTCGACGAGTACAAGACGATCGTGCGGCGCGAGATCGAGGCGGCCAACGCCGGCTGATGCCGGCCCCCATCTAGGCCCGATCTAATGGAATTGGAGGACGGCGCGGGTCCGACCGGCGCGCGCGCGGAGGCTTCAAGGCAGGGGCCGGAGAGCGGGCGGATTGGGAGGACGGTGTGGGGTGATGTGCCTCTGCAGTGGCGACGGGCGATGCGGGCCACGCGACCAATGCTCTGTTTAGCTTTGTTGAAAATGTGCTTCTCACGCTAGCTGGAGGCTTTGTCAAAAGCCCTTGATACGCTGAACATGTATCAAACCGAATTTGCTAATACAACACACGGTCTGCACGCTGGTGTCTTCCCTCGTCCGCGTTGGAGTCGGACGAGGTTTTAGTGCAGTGTGAGGAAAGACAAAGCTGCTTCGAACATTACCCCCTCGACAACATCTCCATGCACGTGCAGAGGTGTTTGTCTGGCTACGGAATCTCTCTGGTGTATCATCTCACCACGCCAGGACCTCATCTTATGAACACGCGATGTTTGACTGGACTCGGCTCTGGACTCTGACTCGAAACTCTGCTCGGCGAGGGAAGACACGTAAGGTAACTGGAAAGACGAGCGAGGCGTGGAAGGCATGAAACGCCCCGCTCGCTACCTCCTTCTGACAGCGCCCGGCCGTAACGTCGGGTTTCGTCAGAGCTGCGGTTAGAACCCCACTTGGTGAATCATGAGACGGTTCGGGACTTACAGTCGTACGCGGGCAGGCGTCGGGTTATGTTGCCGGCCGCCCCATCACACCTGTTATGTCTTACTATGCATAACAGCTTATCACACAAGATGTGTGGCTCCAGTGGACCCGCTGGTATAACGTTCAGTTGTGGAATCTGTTGGCGTGTAACTGGTTTCTTCATAGCTTTAAGTTAGTTGTAAGCCGATTTATTTTCATTTTCGAACAAGCCTCTCAGGTATCATGGCACATGCGAGCACAGAATGATCCGTAAATATAAAGCTATCTTCAGCGCAGTGTGACCATGTTGGAAGTAAATGACCAATGACGTCTTGTGGACAAGATATAAATTGCCCCCTTTGAAAGGCTTTGGTCGTGTCCATTTTCCCCTCCCTGATTTGTAAGAATTGCACAAACTGCTGTTTTGTCTCTTAACTGCAAGTGAACCCATCCATATAATTCAGCAGTCCGTCCTTTTCAAACACCAGTCTGTCCTGACCTCACGTCGATAAAACGGTCTGTCCTAACCAAATGTCGGTACACCAATTTGTCCTGATGTCTACACGATGATCTGTGCTGACCTGGCGTCGGTACACCGCTCTGTCCTGACCGTATGGCAGTACACCGATCTGTCCCGACCTTATGTTGGCACACCGATCGATCCTCACTTGGCGTCAGTACACCGATCTGCTTTGACCTCACGTCGGTATACCGATCTGTCCTGACCTGACGTCGGTACACCGATCTGTCCTGACCTGACGCTCGGTGTGTCGTGTTCTGTTCTCGCGCTGCCTCGGCACGTTACTACTATACCGGCCTACTTCTACGGTCTATTTTCGCCTATCAAAGTTTGTTCAATTTTTTGGATAATTCCTAGAACAGACATTCGGCATTCTCGACTTGTTAATTGTTATCCAGCTTGATCCTTTGTTCCACCTTCTGAACCACCTTCTTAGAAAAGAGATATAAGGAGACAAACAAAAATGCGCCTCTGTCTGTGATAGATAATATGAAATTTAAGATGGCGCGTTGATTTCACGCGTGCTTGCGTTTAAGACCTTCTCTTCATTGGACTCATTGATGGAATGATACTACACATACTACACATAATGATACACAAACTACACATAAGGATCAATTCTGGCAACCGTGTTCAACTACAGCTTCCGCTGCCGTTTTCTTTCGGGTTAAGTCGCGGTCTGTTATATGCATAGGGGTAATTCTACTTCAGATGAGAAATCAGACAGCGCTTTAGGTGACAGGTCGCTGTTGGCGCATGTTGTCGACTGCGCCGAAATTGCTCTGAATGAGAGAGAATGCGCCCTGTTTGGTTTGTTTGGGAGTTTGGAGAGATTTGCCATCACATCGGAAATTTCCCAGTCGTGTGATGAGTTAAATTTTAGCCCGCGTATTGGTTAGTTTTAGAGGTTTCCATGCTACATCCCGATTCACCAATCTTTGAGTGTAGACAAGTGAGTGACTCATGTTGTTGCGTTTCCAGCGTCGATTGTGAGTAGTCTAGTTCACTACGTAAATGCAGTTATGATTTCTTAACTAGCGGTATAACCCGCTCAAGAATTCCATTAATTATTCATACTGCATGCATCTAGGCAGGACAAATCACCGATCTGACCTTGGCTGTGTTGTGTATTTCCGCGAGCAGCTACGGCGGATCCGTGGCATATAGCATAAGTGAGCGTACTGCCAGCCATGAGCTCGTCATTCGATGTGGGTTTGTGGTCACATTACATGACTATATTGTGCTGCATGGTCTGATCACATAAGCGGTCATAATACCAACTTCGGGACCGCTGCGCCAACGGTCGAGTTGATCCATTTCCCCGATCGCATCCAGTTTAGGATTCGCCTGTTATCCACGCTCCCGCCCGGCCCGTGTCGGCCGTTACTCCCGGTTTGATCCATATCCCCGCAGCATTCAGGTGAACACATGCGTTTCGATATGACCGTTTAATTTATGCGATGGTCTTCGGTGATGGTCGAAGATATGCATGCCGATATCTCCGGAACTGGTGTGACGTCATTGACAGGTCTCCAGTAATCGTCATGCACGATGTCTGCGGTTGGGTAACTACCTGCAACTGCGTCATTACTGTGCGGTAGACATGGCTTCGTCGCAAGGCAATGCCGGTTACGCTGCCGTTGGGCGTAACAGAACCAGTGGCGTGAGTGTGTGTGTGTGGGGGGGGGGGATATGGAGCAATAACAGGACGACGTGCAAGAAGCAAACGTTGAGGGTCGGATGCCTCTAGAGCATAGCTACCGAACAAACGGTGCTGTGTAATTATCCGGTGAAACATTTCATTCAGTGAGATGTGTGATCTAGTTAACTGTACCAACTAGTGAAAAGATGACCTAGTAGATTATTTAGTCTGGGAAAATATCAAAGGGAAAGTCGTTTTAGTCCAACTGAATACTGTGTTAGTTGATTTTACAATCGTGCAATAGTCTAGTTCGTGCTCAGCGCTGTTTCCCGTCTAATAGCTAAGGAGAGCGCTGCACTCGAAAATGACGCGTCCAAGAAACTGCCCGGAATTTCCCGCCCGCTACCGACTCTGACAGCGCCTGGTCGTAACGTTGCTGTTTCTCAGAGCTGGGTGCAGAGCCCCAGCTGGTGAATCATTGGTCGGTTTGGGGCATGTGACAGTCACATGCCGGAATGCGTACGGTGCTGTTGTCAAGTAGCCCACCTCAGCCGCGTGTATCTTGCTGTGCACAACAGCTCATCACACAACACGTGTGACCACGCCAAACCGTCTGGTACTACGTCCAATTCTCAAATTGGACTGCGGGTATTATTTTGTCGTGGCTTTTAAAGAAGATGTGTGACATTTGGAGAGGCATCAGATATTAAGAAATGGGCTCAGTTATCACTACTGGTGTACGTCAAGTGGGAAAACTGCTTCAGGCATTGCGGTTCCTCTGTTTAGTAAATATGCTCGTCAATGCTTTAATGTCTGATACCTCTTTGTGTAATGCATAATATTGGCTAAGAGCCAACTGTCGGCCGCTTTATATGCAAATGACGTTCACAAATGACAGAAATGAAAGGCACGACAGTTTATCTCTTTAGCCTCGGTCGCCGCACGGCTAATGGCATGACAAGATTTCAATGACGTTATCATGATATCATGAATGCCTGGGTGACCTTAAAATATTCTCCCGAAAACAGTGTGCACGTCCTCGTCCACATCCGACGCAAGTCCTCGCGGTCGTTGAGTTAAGAAACTAGAAGGACAGGTCTTGAGATGGGCGGCATTGTGAACCACACCAAATGATCTTGAAGATGGCTCTTTCAGTTCAAAACCACGTACAAATGTGGAACACTATTTTTACGTTAGTCACAAACTGAATTTGATTGTTTTCGAACAAGATTTCAGGTATTTCGGGGGCATGCAAGCCTTACGATCATTCATAGGATTAACTTTGTCCTCAGTGCACTGTCACTATGTTGGTGCACGTTGATAAGATAATCAATAATATCTTTTAAGCCCTACGTAAGTCCTACACTGTCGAAGGCTTTCGTTCGTGCACATGTTGCACTCCATGATTTGTAAGAATCATGCAAGCGGTATTTTAGCCTGTGAAATGTAAGCGTATCCTTCCTTAGAACCTGTTAGCCCGTCCTTGTTGGCGCCTTACAAAGTCCAAGCTAAAAGTTGCTCACACCGAGTGAGCACAAAAATGCCTCAAAGAAAAGTTTCCGTTGACAGTTATCGCTACAAAACCACGCATCGTTTGTGTTCCCACTCGGAGCCAGTATTGTTACCAGTGGCTGGCTGCATTTTCATGGACAGCGAACAACCTTCTGATTATCAAAACGGTGTATCACAGCAACGCTCCTCTTTCCTGTGCTTGTTTGTGAAATTTGAAGCGTTTCAGGGAGAGGCTCGCGTAAGTTTGCCTTTACGAAAGACGATAGCATTGTCGCAATGCCAACAGAGCGCCAGAAATGCAACTGACTGTTTATTGTGGTGCCGTGTCGTGGCTGGATGCATCCGAGATTGCATCTCCCGAGCCGAACTTCCCCGTCGGCTTTTGTCTCCGCATCGGGTGGGGGACCCCAGGCCCCGGCTTGTCAAGTATGACGGCACCTAGCGCCTTCCAGGTATATACGGCGTGTCGGCGGCGCCGGCTGACCGCGGAGCCGTACTTCCCGACTGGGTGTCGCCGGCGGCCGCCGCAGCGGCTGAAGCGGCGCTCGTGACGACGTTGGCGGCGTACTCCGCCCGTGTATAAGGCGCGGATGGCGGACAGCAGGCACCACTCTTTCTGCCGGTGTCATGTCGCTACTGCGGGCTCTTCTGCTGACGGTCGCCTTGAGTCCGGCTCTGCTCGATGCGTTGGAACGACCTGGGCTGCAATCTCAAAATGTAGATGACGTGGACCCAGATGCTATTTCCAACGGTGACGAGGTGTTCCCTAGCGAGCGGCAGACCAAGTGGACGTTCATCGCGCTACTGGGGGCCCGCCAGCCGGACGGCTCGGTCCGCTGGCTGTGCGGCGGCTCACTGCTCAGCCCGCGTCACGTGCTGACGGCGGCCCACTGTCTGGTCAGCGTGGCGCCCAGTCAGCTGGTGGTGCGGCTCGGTGAGAC